TATAAAAATATAATATATATATATATATATATATATACATATATATAATATATATATATGTATGTACACACACATATATTCATATAAGATATAGCACCAATGACAGAATGAAGAAGTAATTTAATGGGGCTAGAGTGTTGGATTGATTGGTAGTTAAGGTCAATATACTGCTTTTGCAGAGAACTAGTGTTCAGTTCCTAGCACCCAGATTGTGTGGCTTACAGCAGCTTTTAACTCCAGCTTCAGGGGGATCTGACACTTTTGGCCTCTGCAGGCATGTACACACACACACACACACAAATAAAAAACACCTTTAAGGGGCTAGAGAGATGACTCAGTGGTTAAGAGCACTGGCTGCTCTTTCAGAGGTCCTGGGTTCAATTTCCAGCACCCACATGGCAGGTCACAACTGTCTGTAACTCCAGTTCCAGCGGATCAGATACCTGTACACAGATATACATGCAGGCAAAACACCAATTGACATAAAATAAATTAATCTTTAAAAACCACCTTTAAAAGGATTTTTATGTTTGTGTATGGATAGTTTTGCCTGCATGTATGTTTGTGCAATACGTGTGTGCAGTTCCCAAGAAGGCCAGAAGAGATTGGATCCCCTGGAATGGTTAAGCTGCCATGTGGGTACTGAGAACTAAACACTGACCCTCTGCAAAAGCAGTCAATGCTTTTAATCTTTGACTTCTCTCTCTGTCCCCTAATTTTTTATCTTAAAAATAATAAGGTCTATAGGATGGTTTAGTGTGTACAGGTGCTTTCCCTAAGATACAACCTTCCATCTTATAGGGAAGCTGTATAAAACTCAGGGAGTAAACAACTCAATAGCTTTAGGAAGTCTCTAAAACTGGCCTTTTTCACTAAGCCTATTTACTTTTCTGTTCTGTGATAAAACACCATGTCTTATAAAAGAAAGAATTTAAACTGGGGCCCATGATTCCAGAGGCTTAAAGTCCATGACCATCATGGTAGGAAACATGACTGCAGGCAGGCAGCAGGCAGCAGGCAGCAGGCAGCAGGCACAGGCAGCAGGCAGCAGGCAGCAGGCAGGGAGGCAGGGAGGCAGGGAGGCAGGGAGGCAGGGAGGCAAGCAGGGAGGGAGGGAGGGAGGGAGCCAGGCAGGCAGCAGGCAGGCAGCAGACATAGTACTAGAGCAGCAGCCAAAAGCTTACATCTTAATCCACAGCACTAGTCAGAGGGAAAAAAAGCAAACTGGGAATAACACAGGCTTTTGAAACCTCAAAGCCTACCCCTATTGGGGGCATTTTCATTCAAACGACACAACCTCTGCCTCCTCAAGCTTATAAGCAGTAAGAATTGATGAGAGACACCAACACAAGCTGAGCAGTCTGAAAGAGAATCACATCAACTAAGCTGCCTGGAAAGAACAAGCTGTCAAGCTGCCTACAGGTTATCCAGTGCACTCCATGCTGGGGTAGGATTTTGGTGATGCACTGCCTTTGAGTCATTTCTGCTCCTGTAACTAAACTGTCACCCATATTCCTGTGAGTAAATGCAATGAAAATCATTGGTTCACTACTTTGTTTTACTATCTGTTCTTCCTTCCTTTTCCAGTTGTTTTGTTTTGAGACAGGGTCTTTCTACATACCCCTGGCTGTTCTGGCACTATGTAGACCAGGCTGACCTCGAACTCCTTGTCTGTTCTTTATCTAGTATAAGTAGACATTTGCTCACATCCCCCCCAGAAACTGAGCCACACAACATTCCTGGAAGTCACATAAAGGTGGAAGGAGAGAGCCTACTCCACACAGCTGTACTCTGGTCTTCATATGTGTGCTATGGCACACATATGTACATGTGCATACACACATGCACAGTTACACAATAAATAATAACTAACAGAATAATAATAATAATAATAATAATAATAATAATAATAATAATAATAATAACAATAACAATCGTGGGGGCTGGAGAGATGGCTCAGTAGTTAAGAGCACTGCCTGTTCTTCCAGAGGTCCTCAGTTCAATTCCTGACAACCATATTGTGGCTCACAACCATCTGTAATGAGATCTTGTGCCCTCTTCTGGCCTGCAGGGATGCGTGCAGGCAGAACACTGTATACATAATAAATAAATGAATACTTAAAGAAAAAAATAAATATTTTACATGATGACCATTCTATTTAAAAACTTTTGTGTGTGTGTGTGATTTTATGTGCATGTGCCAGTAGTGTCAGAGTGCCCTGGAACTGGAGTTGTGGGCCACCCATCATAAATACTGAGAATTGAACTCTGGTCCTCTACAACAGCAGTACATGCTTTTAACTACTGAGCCATCACTCAAGACCCTGAATTTATTTTAAAAAAATTCTTTGAGAATTTTTAAATTTTGTGTACAATGAAATGTGTTCTTATTTACCTCTATTTCCCCATAACTGCCCCCCGTTTATTCCTTCATGTACATAAAGATGAAAGGGCTTGGTGACATCAGGTAGAGTTAAAGCAGAGGCCTGTACAAGCACCTCTTTCAAATTCTTAAAGGCCTCTTCATGGCCCTCAGTCCATTCCAAGGGCTGTTGTCTCCTTCCATATGCAAGTACAAGGGCTTGGCAATTTTAATGAATCCTGGTATCCAGAGGTGACAACACCCAACAGCACCCAACAGAATCCTGGAATTCCCTAAACTGCTCCAGTCTCCTGAGGGCTAGAATTACAAGTGTGTACCACATCTGACTTTTAAATGTCTATAGTTATTAAGCTTTGTGAGTTCTTAAGTAATTGTGACTTGAGGAATATGAAAATACTCTCCCATATAGCTTACAATCATAAGGCTTCTCTCCAGTGTGGGCCCTCTGATGCACAGAAAGGTTTGAGTTAGGAGCAAAAGCTTTCCCACATCCTTCACATTATTGGGATTTTCCCCAGGATGGATTTGCAAGTGTCAGTTTAGGTCTGAAGAAGCAGTGTAGGATTTCCACATTCTTCATGTTCTTAAATGTTCAATAAGACAGAAAGATCTAGCAAAGTCGTTCCCACATTCTTTACAAACAAAAAGCGTTTCTCCAGTGTGTGTTCTTATGTGTGAAACAAGGCAAGTAGAGGTAGAGAAGGCTTTCCCACATTTCTTACATCCACGGGACTTCTCTCCACTGTGAGAATGTACATGTTTAGTAAGTCCTGATGGCTGAGTGAAGGTTTTCCCACATTCATTGCATTTATAGGGCTCTATTCCTGTGTGCGTTTGAATGTGCTTCTTAAGGTGTGAGGAATTTCCAAAAGCATTTCTACATTTCTTACAGTCATAAGTTTTTTTTTTCAGTATGTATACTTACATGTTTAGTTAAGTAGGAGGAAGGCTTTCCCATGTTCCTCACATTCATAGGTCTTCTCTCTCTCTCTCTCTCTCTCTCTCTCTCTCTCTCTCTCTTGAGACAGGGGTCCTCTGTGTAGCAGCTCTGGCTTTCCTGGAACTCTCTTTGTAGACCAGGCTGTCCTTGAACTCACAGATGCCTCTGCCTCTGCTTCCCGAGTGCTGGGATTAAAAGCTTGTGCCACCCCTGCCCAGCCATAGTTTTTCTCTTTCCTGTGAATTCAGACATGTTGAGAAAGGCTCCAAAATTGAGGAAAAGGTTTCCCACATTCTGTACATTTACAAGGCTTCTCTCTGGCGTGGGTTCTCATGTGCTTACTGAGGTAAGTGGGATACTTAAAGCTTTTTCCACATTATTTGAATCTATAGGGAGTTTTTACACTGAGACTTCCAAGATCTGTGGAAAGAATCAAACTGCTTCCATACTCAATCCATTCATAGGTTTTTTTTTTTCCATTGTAGGTTTCCAGACGGACCTGAAGATTTGACTGGTTAACAAAGGCTTGCCCACAGTCACTGCAGCCAAAAGGATTCTCTTGCAATCATGTGATCTTGCACATATCATTAGGAGTTGGCTGAGACTCATTAAGTTCAGAAAGTTTCTCTCTAATAGAATTGAATAAGTCTCTTCCATGCTGAAAACATTCACAATTGCTCCCTGTATCTTGAATTCTCTTGTATGCCTTAGCATCCAAGTGTTTGATAGAGACTTCATCATATTGAGTAAAGTCACAGACTTCACAGACATCACTGATTTTTCTTTGTGGATAAATGGAATGAGTAAAGTCCACTGTTTAGTAAATAATGAGAATTTTCATAAATTGTGTTACATTTGTATCTGTCCTCCTAATTGGGTGATGGAACTATACTGATAAGGTCCTGTGTCATTTTCTAATTGTATGTATAAAGAATGTACACTTATGGAAACTCTACGGAAAATAGTATTTTGTGGTTTTTAAAGGGTTTGGGGTGTGTGTGTGTGTGTGTGTGTGTGTGTGTGTGTGTGTGTGTGGGTGTGGAAGAATCAGGGAAGTTAGAGGGATGGCTCAGCAGTTAAGAACACATATTGCTGTTGCCAAGGATCTAGGTTCAATTCCCAACACCCATATTGTAGCTCACAACCATTTGTAACCCCAGTTCCAGAGGGTCCAACAGGGATGCATGTAGTACACATATATTCATGCAGGTGAAACATGCATACACATAAAATTTTTTCAAAGGAAGAAAATGTTTATTTTGGCCCAAGTTGGATAAAGTCACATTTTTTTTTCAAGACAGGGTTTCTCTGTGACTTTGGAGGCTGTCCTGGAACTAGTTCTTGTAGTCCAGGCTGGTCTCGAACTCACAGAGATCTGCCTGCCTCTGCCTCCCGAGTGCTGGGATTAAAGGCGTGTGCCACCACTGCCCGGAAAAGTCACACTTTTTATGAGACACTTTGGACATCCCCACAGATACTGTAGTCACAGGATCTCTCTAGATATTGTTCCCTTCTGGGTAGATGCTTCTTCTCCCAGAATGCTCAAACTTTTCTGAATGTAGAAAAAAGATTTTATTTATTAATCTTACCACATGTATCCCACTGTAGGTTTGTTCCTTCAACAACTCCTGTTGAAATCTAGACTTACCACTAAAAAGTTGCATTTCATTTTCTGAAGGGAAGAAAGGGTTTGAAGGAAGATATAGTTGAATTCATGTTTTGTTTTTTGTTTGCTTGTTTTGTTTGTTAAGACTGTGTTTTTGTTAGTGTGTATGTAGATGTGTTTGTGTAGATGTATGCCATATGTCTGTGATTCCCACAGATACCAGAAGAGGGCATCAGATGCCCTGGGAATAGTGTTACAGGCAATTGTGAACCTTTTAATATGGCTATTGGAAACCAAATTTGAGTCCTCTGGAAGAGCAGAAAGTGCTGGTAACCACTGAGCCATGTCTTTGGCCCAAAGGCATCAGAAATTTTAAAAAAAGGTAGGAGGCCTTGGGAGATGGTTTGATGGATAAAGTGTGTTGAGCTCTGCAAGCATAAGGGCCTGAGTTTGGATACTCAGCACCTATGTAAAAGCTACATGTGTCTAATGCAAGCAATATAACCAGCTTGGCTGAAATGTTGAGTTCTAAGTTCAGTGAGACTATGCCTTATAGAATAAGGTGGAGAAGAAATTGAGGAAGACATTCCAATAATAACCTCTACACACATACACACACACACACACATACACACACACACACACACACACACAATTATCAAAAGATAGAATTTATTTGTAGTTGTTTTCCTTTATTCTTGGGTCCTTGCTGCACTGGTTTCCTCTGTTTCCTGATTTCTGGGATCAAAGGACCTGGACTAATGTATTTCTTTTTAATTAAACCCAGCTGAAAATAGCGGGTGTGATAACACATGACTTTAAATCTCAGCATTCCAGAGGCAGAGGCAGAAGGGTCTCTGATTTCAAGGCCAGCTTGTTCTACATAGTGAATTCCAGCACAGCCATGGCCATATAGAGAGACCCTGTCTCAAAAAATGGACAAACAGTTGGGCAGTGGTGACGCACACCTTTAATTCCAGCACTCAGGAGGCAGAGGCAGGTGGATCTCTGTGAGTTAGTGGCCAACCTGGTTTCCAAAGTAAGCTCCAGGACATTCAGGGCTGTTACACACAGAGATTCTGTCTTGAAAAACTAAAAAAAGGGTGCTGGAGAGACAGCTCAGTGGTTAAGAGCACTTAATGCTCTTCCAGAGGACCTGAGTTCAATTCCCAGCATCCACATGGTGGCTCACAACTGTCTGCAACTTCAGTTCTAGTGGACCTAACACCTGGACACCCTCACACAGACACACATGCAGGTAAAACATCAATGCTGCTGGGTGGTGCTGGCATACACCTTGAGGCAAGAAGGTCTCTGTGAGGCTAGCCTGGTCTACAGAGTGAGTTCCAGGCCAGCCAGAACCACACAAAGAAGCTCTGTCTCAAAAAAGGAAATAAACAACGTGCCCACAAAAAGAAAAACAAACAAACAAAAATAAATATAACTTGGAGACAGAAATGGCTTAATGATTAAGGTTTACTGCTCTTGTAAAGAACCCCAGTTTGGTTCCGATCACCAATGTTGGGTGGCTTAAAACTGCCTGTAACTCCAGCTCCAGGGGATTCAGTGCCTCTGGCCTCTGCAGGCACCTGCACACACACACACACACACACACACACACACAGAGAGAGAGAGAGAGAGAGAGAGAGAGAGAGAGAGAGAGATGCCTTCCTTTCACATAAAAATTTTAAAAAGTAGGGGGCTAGCTGTGGAAATCAGTATGGCAACAACTCAGAAAATTAGGGATCAACCTACCTCAAGACCCTGCAATACCACTGTTGGGCATATACCCAAAGGAAGCACATTCACACCACAAGCACCTTTGCTCAACTATGTTGATAGCAACATTGTTTGTAATAGCCAGATCTTGGAAACAACCTAGATGCCCCTCAACTGAAGAATGGATAGAGAAAATGTGGTACATTTACACAATGGAGTACTACTCAGTGGTAAGAAACAATGACATAAAATTCACAGGCAAATGGACAGAATTAGAAAAAACCATCCTGAGTGAGGTAACCTAAAACCAGAAAGACAAATATAGCATGTACTCACTAGTAACTGGATACCAGACATAAAGCAAAAGATACTCAGCCTGCAATCCAGAACCCCAGAGAAGCTAGAACCCTCTTCCAGAAACAGATGGAAGCAGTTGAAGAAATCCACAACTAACCAATGAGTCAAGCTCCTGGAGTATAATCGAAGTGAGGGAGGAGAGATAATATGAACAAAGGAGTCAAGACCATGATGGGGAAACCCACAGAATCAGCTGACCTGAGCTAGTGAGAGATCACTGACTCAGGTCTGACAAATGGGGAACCTCCATAAGACTAAACTAGACTTCCTTAATATAGGTGACAATGGTGTGACTGGGACCATATATGAGACCACTCTAATGACTTAGTGAAGCCCATTCTACATGGAGAGATACCTTGCTCAGCCTAGACACAGGGACGTGTGGGGGGTGGAGAGGTGCCTTGGTCCTGCTCAATGAGATGATGGGACAGACTTAGTAGACCTCTTAGGGGAGGCCTTACCCTCTCTGAGGAGCAGATGGGAGGTGGGAGGGAGTGGGGAGAACAGGAGGAGAGGAGGGAGGGGGAACTGGGATTGGAATGTAAAAAGAAAATTAATAAAAAGAATTCCTAAAAAATAAATCTGAGACAAATGAAGAAATGAAAAAATGGGGGCTAAAGAGAAGGCTCGGTAAGTAAAAGCACTTTTTCTTGCAGAGGAATTGAGTTTGGTTCTGAGAACCCACATAGTGGCTCACAACCATCAGTTAACTCTAGTTCCAGGTGATCTAACACCCTTTTCTGGTCTCCAGGGATGCTTGCAAACAAACAAACAAAAAAAACAAAACAAAAAAACCAAACAAACAAAAAACAAAACAAAACAAAACAAAAAACCAAACACATAAAATATTTTTTAATTTAAAATCAAATCTTTAAACAAATTAGAAACCAATATTCCACCCTTAGGACTTCTTCCCCTCTCTGGAGTTCTTTCTTATTTTTTCCTTTTCTTTAATAATTATATGCCCACTCTGCTTTTTTTAAAAAAAAAAAAGGCAAAAAGATTTAGAAGTCAGGTGGGGTGGCATTAAGTTGTATTGCCAGAGCTTGGGAGGCTGAGGTAATAAGAATGCAAGTTCAAGATCAGCCTGGGCACAGAGTGAAACTACGTCTCAGAAAAGGGGAGGAGGAGTGGACAGTGCAGCTCAGTGAAAAAGTGCTTGTTTAGTGTGCACAGGATCTCCAGAGTAGCTAAAAAAGGAAGAAGAAGGAAGGAAGGAAAGAAGGAAGGAAGGAAGGAAGGAAAGAAGGAAGGAAGGAAGAAAAAGAATGTAATGCCACTGTCTGGGTTTCATTTCTGTTGCTGTTATAAATAGTGTGACGATGGGAGGCAGAGGCAGGCGGATCTCTGGGAGTTTGAGACTAGCCTGGTCTACAAGAGTTAGTTCCAGGACAGCCGCCAAAGCCACAGAGAAACCCTGTCTCAAAAAGCCAAAAATAAATAAATAAATAAATAAATAAATAAATAAATAAATAAAATAAAATAAATAGTGTGACTAAAAACAACTCTGGACAAGAAAGAGTTTATTTGGATTACAATCCCAGGTCATAGTCTTGTCATTGAGGGAAGTCAGGGCCAGGAATTCAAGGCAGGGACTTAAAGACAGGTCTGCTTGCTACAGCATTACCCTTGATCAAGGAACTCACAGCTTAAAGAAATGCAACAGAAACTGTGGAGCACACTGCTTGCTGCCTGGCAGTTTATATGCCAGCTATCTTTCTTTCTGTTTTGTTTTTTTTTTTTGAGACAGGCTTTTACTAGGTAGTCCTGGCTGGCCTGGAATGTAGATCAGGTTGGCCTCAAACTCAGATATCTGCCTGTCTCTGCCTCCTGAGTTCTGGGCTTACAGGTGTGGGGCACCACACCCAGATTTCAGCTACCATTCTTATACAGCTCTGGGCTACCTACGTAGGGCATGGTGCTACCCATAGTGTGCTGGACTCTTCCACATTAATTAGCAAATAAGACAATCCCCTACAGACATGCCCACAGGCCAATCTGATCTATGCAATTTGTCTGTTGAGAATCTTTTACTAGATAATTCTAGGGGGTGTCAGGTTGACAGTTAAAGACATGAATTATTATTTTAGATAGTTTAATATAACTGATTTCTTTAAAAATAAAAGCCGAATACGCACATAAACACATCTAGAGACACTTTCATACACACATATATTCATTTCCGTGGTGCTTGGGATGGAATCCAGAGCCTGTGAATACCAGACAATACCCCTGGAGTCACACCACTGGAGTCACACCACCCAGCAGCAAGA